AGTGTTTCAGACGCATCGGCAAAGCGCCAAATAGCCCAAACTGATCATTGTCATTAAGAGCTTAGTGGCCAAATGTACTTGATGCTTTAACAAGAGTAGTTCCCTAACCAAAATGCCGCTCCCGGGCCGTTAAAGGAAGCGCACACTGAGAACTGAAGTCCCTTCACCAGTCTGTCAGGAAGAACGCGAGCCGAGGCAGGAAGGCGGAAAGAACTTTGAAGACAGAGATGCCTGACTGCACTGTCCACGTGCACACGGAGCTTTTCAGTAAGTGTGTTAGGGCAGGGGAATGAGCTTGTCACAGCTTCCAACAACTTGGTGCAATATCACTCACACCTAACCCCAACGTTTTCCTAAAAGAAAAACTGTGAATCATCCTACAAGAGGAAGGATCAAATAGTTCTTACAACAACAAAAGGTAAAAGAAGATCCCAGTATGGGGCTACTTCCACATCACCTGCCAACCACCAGTGTATCGTTCCACCTAGCATCCTTTCATGTAGCATCGCCTCGATCACCTCACTACCCTGATCAAACTCAGAAAAGGTGAGTATTCCCTGTACCTCCCCAACACTTACAACGGTGTCTGGTACACGCGAGATGGTAAATATTACTGGAAGAATGCTGGGCTGTGAAAGACTAAACCAACCTATGAGCAAAGAATTATGCAGATAAGAATAAAAATACATGGCTCTCTGTTCTCCAATAATCAAAAATGAGTCGCAATCTTGGTTAGTTGGTTGATTGGATGGTTGGTTCTTTTAATGCAACAAATTAAAGAACAGATCTATGCCAGGAACTAGCATTGTATGCTGCCTTACTCTTCTACTCTGCCACCTTCAGGTAATTAACTCAGTTCAGACTGGTAGCCATGCGACAGGACAGAGTAGAACTGCCCTGTGAGTTTCCGAGACTAGAACTGGGAAAAGAAAGCCTTGTCTTTCTCTCAAGGGACGGCTGGTGATTTCGAACTGCTGATCTTAGAGTTAGCAGTCCCGATTGTAACACACTCTGCCACCAGGTCTCCTTCTTCAAGGTATGTGTAGACAGCCATAAAGACACTGTATTCACATTGCAACCAGAAAGGATAAAATGTCACTAATCATTCCTTCTTTTCGTGTGCTGTCTTTATTGTAATGAGCTGGAAAATACTTACAGAGGCTTCCGGGACTTCTTTCTACTTTGGGTCTCCCGAATGGATTGTTCTATTAGATTTCTAAATTCCCTGTTGACATATATTCTCCTTCTACAGAATTTTTAGAAACACTAGCCCCTGATTGGGAGACTTTCTACTTTCTACCTCTATTTCTAGAAAGGGAAGTCTATGTTACTCTCTGGAGAGTGAGGGCAAGAATGTGTATGACAGGCAAATGGGGATATGATATTTCAAAACCTGAAATTAGGCAACAGTTATTAGACAATGCTAAAAGACTCCCTAGGTCCCCTTCCCAGCAATTCTACTCTGTCTAGAATTTTCTCAAGATTAGAATGTGTCAATTTTCAAAATAAGGTCAAACCTGTACTTAGTGATCCAGTAACTGTGATCAGCAGGAATCCAATGAAGACGCCCAAATGTCACAGGGTTACACCGCCTTTCATTCACCCCACCCCAGCTAAAAAGAGAGACGTCCCTGGTCCAGTGAACACAGACTTTCTTTCTCATTAGCTGAACTCAGTTTTGAGTGGTGCCCCTTATTTAATATTGTTAAAACACAGTTCTAGCTATGGGCGTAAATTAGCCAGACAACAACCAGAACACAAGGAGAATGACTCAGTGCCAAGTTCTGCTCTACGTACTAAGAATATGACTGGGGGCGGGGAGAGTGGGGGACTCTCAACCCTCAAAGAGCTGACAAGGAAGGAAGGAAGGAAATGGGCATGATAGTTTCAGTTACTCGCCAAGGATGGGAAGACGATAAAACAGGATAAAGTAGTAGCACCTAATTGGGAGGCTGCTCGATCAACGATGAGCAAATAAATCTCTGGGAGGAAAAATGCAAAAAACCAAAATTTCAAATTCTCATGGACTCTATACACTCTGGGGTTAAAGAGGCTGGATGAATCCCCAAAGCTATTTCCCTGGTAAAAATCTTTAGCCCTTCATCCAAAAAGCATCCCCGAAAGTCTTCTTAAAGCCAAACAACCGTATCGTGCTTCTAAAAACTTATTTTTATTTATTTATTTTTCTTAGGTAAAAATTTCTTTTTCCCATTTTAATTCACACCAGTCTCCCTCTAAGCTGTCACTCTGGTGGCATGTAGGTCCCATTCTCAAGAACACAGCACAAGATCTGTCTTTCAAGATCTACGGGTTCAGATTCACACAGCAACTTGAAAGGTTTCATAGGAACCTTAGGGGAGGCGAGCTTATGCTGATGAGAAGAATCCCTTGGGAAAGGTGGGTGGGCATGCTGGACAGTGGAAGAATGTAATCAATGTGCTGAAATGTCCATCTAGAAACTAGAACTGGTGTGTGTTTCTGCTGTGTGTTTGCTGGGAAGGGATCCTCCATGCAAACACAGGCCAGGAAAGAGGCGTCAGTGCGCAGCTGGCGTGAAG